GGGTAATAAGACATAAAGCTCCCTTTCCATGCAGGCCTAACGGAGGTCCTCCTCTGCTCTCAATTCTTTCATGGCTCCCAAGTGCTCTCAGGAGAGAATCCAAGCTCAGTTTCGCATCGAAGGCTCTTCAGGGTCCAGCCCATGCTGATTCTCTGCTCATCTCCTGTGTCTCACTTAACTCCTCCTCAACTTCAGCTGTGCCCCTTCATACCTCCAGCACTTTGCAAACCCAGTTCCTTCTGCCCATATCCATAAGAACGAAGACATCCATCTAGCTGACCTGTCATAGGGCCCATCATAGGGCCCAGAACACAGTAAGTACTTCTGTTAGTAAATAAATGAAATGCTTTCACCACCTGACAAGCTCCTATTCATCCTTCAAAGCCTCAGCTCTAATGCCTATCTGCCATGCAGCAGGATTTCCTGCATCCCTCCCTCAGGCCCAACCCTGACCACTGTGCCTGAAGGTGCCAATGTCTGCTTCTATCTTTCCATCAGAGGACCCTCTCTTGCCCAGTATAAAGCAAGTCCCCAAAAGGCTTTCAAGACATGTTGGTCCCACTGCATGTTCATTATGGCTAGGTTCTCATCTGCCAATATTAGGGGTGAAAGAGAGAGACAGGAGCCTATTTCAGAGATAACTCCTGGGTCCAACTCCAAGGCCAGAACTTCTCAGAAGAGACCTGCTAACTGAGCCCCACATCAGAAAGGGGCTCTGGGGCTCCGAAGACCCTCTGCTCCTTTCCCACCAGGGCAACAGCTCCATCCTCCCCGCACCCGAAGCTACCAGAGTTAGCGCTCCTCTGGGCCTTCACACATGCTGTTCTCTCCACCGGGAACACCTTTCCCCCTCACCAGGTCCTTCTCACACTTCCGGTCTCAGCTTAGTCACATGATATGCCCAACGCCACTGACCAAGCACGAACTCTGTGCTAAAAACTTTATCTGCCATCCCCATCCTCCCCTTCCCCAACCCCGCTGAGATGGGAGGCTCCTCTGGCCTCCCGATTCTATAGATGACAAAACCGGGGCTTGGAGAGACAAAGACGCCTGCCCAAGCCCACCTAGTCGGAAAGATGCAGAGAAGCCAGCTCACCTTCATGTTAAGCTCTTACCTGCTCTCCCACAATGACCGCCTCCTCCAGGAAGCCCTCCTGCCCTCCACACATGCGAGGGCAGAGCCTCCTCTAGGTTGTCCCTGCCAGTGTGTGTTTCTGCCATCACAGCCTTGACATCAACGCTGTGTTCCCCCACCTGCTGGTTCTGAACCTAGGAGGGGTCTGCGGGGTGTCTATCTGTTTTGTCCAACATTGTGTACAAGGCCTGACGCACAGCAATGCTCAATATAGTCCTATGGGTAGTAATGGGTTCACGGATTGCTTACTCTCATAGAGATCCTGTGTGTGTGCGTGCAATTCCAGCTGTGCTCAAATACGGGCACACAGTAGGTGCTCAATCAATGTCCTCTGCCTGAAGGAGGGCAGGAAAGATGTCACAGTCACTTGTAAGGCCCCAGGGGCCGCATAAAAGCCTGTTAAATCAATGAAGAGTGGGCAGCTGGGGAAACAGAGGCACGGAGCCCCCCGCCTGCCTCAAAGCCACACGGCCAGTTCCAGTGGCTTCTGCTCAGCCCCCACCCCCAGCCACTGGGCCCTCCGATGCCACAGGGAAAGGGCTCCTCCCTCAGTCCCCCACCCCGGGCAGTGCCTGCCAGCAGCCCCGCCCGTTGTCTCCCTGGGGCTGGCACGTCACACTCCGAATCTCACGCCTCTGAGCTCAGCGTGCTCCAGCCTCCCCTCCTGCCACCAAGCAGAGCAGCTGGTGCTCCAGCCCCCGCCCCCAGCCACTGGGCCCTCCGATGCCACAGGGAAAGGGCTCCTCCCTCAGTCCCCCACCCCGGGCAGTGCCTGCCAGCAGCCCAGCCCGTTGTCTCCCTGGGGCTGGCACGTCACACTCCGAATCTCACGCCTCTGAGCTCAGCGTGCTCCAGCCTCCCCTCCTGCCACCAAGCAGAGCAGCTGGTGCTCCCATGGAAACCACAGGCCCCTCTTTACCCCCACACCACACCGGCCCCCCTCACAACCTCCATTTTAAGATAAATATTGTCATTAACATGCAAATGCACATGTGATTACCATAAATGGGGGGCCACAAGGCAGCGGCCAGCGAACCCTATCGCCAGGACGGGCATTAATATTCAGCCCTGATTAGGGAAGGGGGACACCTCAGGGCTCCTACAGGCACCCAGCCCCCTGGAGCGAGGGTCCTGGCGGGGGGTGGGTGGGGGGAAGAGGGGCTGTCCCCCATCAGGGGGCTGGAAGGGGCTGATGACTGTATACTGGCCACTGGGAGGCCCAGTCCGGGCCTCGGTTCCTGGCCTGAGCTCCTGGCTCCGCTGGGGACACCGGGGAGGTCCCGTTCCTCTGGATGAGGCACCGATCTGGGGGATGGGGTAAGAAGCAGCCTTGTGACCTCCTGATCCCCCTTCTCCATCTCTCTTTCTGATTCCCACCCTCTCTCTGCCTCTCCCTGTGTGTGGGTGGGGGGTGGCACGCTCTCTCTCCCTCTCCTTCTCTCCACTTCTCTTTAAAAAAAAAAAACAAACACCCAGTCTGCCCTCTTTCTAAGGACCCCTCACTTCTTGTCCTCTCCCCCAAGCCCTGTCCAATCCCCAAAGCCCAGGGGATCTGCTGAGCCCCCTGCCTTTCTCTTGGTTCCAGCAAGACCCCCCACTGTACAGGCCCTTAGGAATTGGAAGGCCCCCACATACAGGCCCCACCACTGGCTGTGGCTGTCAGATATCACAGCCACCTCCCCCATGCCATCCGGGAGCCTCGTCCTCATCTTGGAGGAACCTGTCACCCCTTCATCACACGCATATACTTCTGCTTCCCCTGGCCCGGGAGGGGGAAGGTGTGCGACAGTGAGGAGGGCAGCTCTGGTTGGTCCTTGGGACCCAGAAGTTGGCCCTGGGAGCCTCAGTTTCCTTTTTATATGAAATCTGGTGGTGCTCACAAGCCCCCCTCAGTGGCGAGCCCTTTGGTGAGAGATCAAACAGGCCCCTGAATGTGAAAACTAAGGATGAGATGGATGGTCATGAGGATAATGACAATGCTGGGGGTGGGGGGCACAGTGACCACAGTGGATGTTCTGGTCCCTTCAACTGACCTGGTGCCCAGCCTCATGGGAGTCTCCCAGCATCCAGGGGCCCAGACGGCTGGGCAGGAGGGAGGTTTCTCTCCCCACTGGGCCCAGACCCCTCACCCCGGCCACACTCCTCCTCGGCCACATGGAGGAGTCAGATGTTGGTTGGCTCCCCAGAAACGACACCAGAGAAGTGTTCTCTGGGAGGTACCCGGACTTCCCCTCCCCCCACATCCCGTTCATCATTCCACTTCCCTTTGCTTGAGGCCCAGAGAGGGGAAGCCACTGGCCAGAGGTCACACAGGCCTCCATCCCAGCTGCTGGCGCTCGAGACACCCCCACCTCCAGGTAAGGTCCCTCCAGGCCCAGGACCAGGTGGGACCAGGAGGGGGATCTGTCCTTGACCTGAGGGTACAGGGTGAGGGCAGACAGGAGGGAAAGCCCCCCATCCTCTTGTTACCCTCAGGCCCTGCGTCCAGGGCTCAGACTGGCCCAGGGCCCCTGTGAAGAGGAGGATGAGGGCTGAGCATCATGGATACTCTGCTTCCTAATTTAAGCCTCCAAGGGAAGATGGGAAATGGGAAAGACCCTGAACCCCCCCCCCCAATCCCAACATTCTCCAGCCAGAAAAAACACCCCTGCATTCATGGGCCCTGCTTGGGTAACAGTGGGGAAACTGAGGCTCTGGCCCAGGTGAACCTGGGCTGCAGCTCCACCCCTCACCTCTTCTCGCTTGGTGGGAGGATTTCCAGGGGAGATTTAAAAATGAGGAGGGGGCACCTCTGCAACCCATTTGTTTCCCTGTCCCAGAGCTCGCCAGCAGCCTTCCAGCCCAACATTTGGGAAGGGGGCACATGGACACCCTCTGATTCCCATCAGAATCTTTCTAGAAATGGGCTCTTCAGACATACCAGAAAATGACCAAAGCCATGGAGTCCAGAGGGGGTGGAGTGTGGACAGAGCCCTCTATAGAGCCGTGGATTCCTGAGCTGGATTCGTGGGCAAAAGTGAGCCCTCTGTCCTCCTAGGCCACCTGGAGGAGTTAGATTTCCCAGCCCCCCCTTCTTTTTGTGATGATAGGATTCGAAAAAAGGCTAAGGGGATGGGGGGGAGTCTTTCCTTCCTAGGGTATCAGCTGAGGTCTAGCTGAAGTGACAGGCCTGGGCGCCATCCTACCAGACTCACATTCATTCATTCATTCATTCATTCAACAAACATTATTCATGATTACCATGCTGACACACAGAGGGGAAGATGGAGATAAATGATTCTGAAATAGGTCATGGGCTCTGGTCCACCCTAAGGTCCCTCCAGGGTCTTGCCATCAGTGTTCAGTGCAAAGCCTTTGCCATCCCCAACCCCAGCCCCCAACAGCCAACAGAAGAGCTGTCAACGCCACCCCAATTCAGACTGTGCTTATGATCAGAGTCTAGGGCTGGGGCACGGTCCCTGGGCACCTGCGCCCAGCGTGCCATTGGAAAGAGAATCAGGTAGGAGGGAGGCAGGCAGTCCTCCCCCCAACCTGCCTCCCGCTGGTTTGCAGGCCGCCCACACCTCCCCTGTCCACCCCAGGATCTGGGTTCTGCCAGATGGACAGCCCAGACGCATCATCGTTGGCCTCAGACCTCAACACATTGCTAACGGGATCGGGATCGGCTAGTTTTAACTTGAGCCAAAGGTGGAGGCATGGAGGGGGAGGGCAGAGAAATGGAGGGGGGACGCTGATCCAAACAGAGAGGGTGGGCAGGGGGGAGGGTGAACGGTAGCATTTGAGCCACCGGAGGCTGGTGCTCCCCCCTCAGCCTGGCTCAGCTCCCTGCGCCCCCCAACCCCCCTCTGGCTTTCTTTGTAGTTACCGATTAGCCCGGGGTCCTGGGCATCCGTATGTCCCGGAGGCCAGCTGGACCTGCCCCACCGGCCTGGCTTTGTGAAAATGACCAAAGCAATGGAGTCCAGAGGCGCAAAGTTCCCCGACGGGGCCTGGGGAGGCCGAGGGAACGGGGGGAGCAGGGAGGGTGGTGGTATTCAGGCAGGTCCCCCAGCAAAGGGGCAGG